AGAGAGAGAGAGAGAGACGAAACATTTTTATTATCAAAAATATACAGTTACAATAAATAGAATAAGATTGAAAGTGAAATTACACGATGACTTGTAAAATTGTTCGCCTTGCAATCAGCAAAGGAACTCGAACTTTTTTTCCGAGCCGCTGGGGATTTTACGATTCCTAAAACGACGTTTCAGAAGCGCGGCTCCGTGTAATGGACCGCGGGCCCTTTCGCAACAACCGAAAAAGAACATTGGCATTTTTGGACGTTCCACGTGTCAGAGAACGCGCGGCACGATGATCGTGGTTTCTTCTTCGCTAAAATTACGTGATGGCAGCCCACAGCATATGGCCGTAGGCTTACGACTGGTCGAAACATTTTGCGGTGTATACTTCCGCTTCGATGTTTTTTCGCTTTTATATATAAATTTTCCGCATATAACGAAAATCGTACTGTCAGAGAAATAAAATAGTTTGCGTAATAGCAATATTGACTAATATGTCTAGCCTACGTCAACGTATTGTTTCTCAATCGATGGTTTTGTATTTCGAGAACGCTAATGAGACACAGCCAGACGCTTACGCGAACATTCACGATGCCAGACGCTGAATAATCAACGGCCAATTCGACGAGGATTCGAATTTCCGGGATTGGCTGAAACAGATGTTGTTTACGTGGAGAAATGACGACACTGCTAATTTCCAGTCACGTCAGCAGTCTTGACCTATAAATGCGAGTATCGTAATCTGAGAATCCATACCCATCGCTTCCGTATAATCGCGGAAGCATTTCTCACCTGTGTGGAATTATAAAGATATATTTCCATAATAAATGCGTTCTCATGCATTAGCGTAGTGTAATGTTCTTATCGGTTTGCACGCGTTCCAGCCTGCAGCTTAAATACTTTATCATGCGGTTCTTCGAACGCGACACGATGGATTGCGACACATGTGCACGAGGCGTGCATACGTCGTCCTCTTGTAATCTGGTGTCCGTGGTATTAAACACGTCGAATAGCAACGTGATCTATACTAGTTATGCACGACTATTGTTATCGTACGCTTACCAACGCGCGACATAGTCGTCCTCAGAAATCTTGCCCATCACGTGTAATCTGACATTTATATAATCTCGAATTACACAAGCCCTGGCACATTTTAAATGCTTGCGCATATCTTATCCATGAATGCGATCATCGATATCGACGATTTCATCGGGCGATGTATCATTGCTTAAAAAACAAGAGAGAAAGGAAAAGAGAGAAAGAGAGAATAAATGTGCTCGAAGCAAATATATTTCAATATTCCATCCGTATTCTGCCCGTGTTGTGCTACCCACTATCATCGATCATTAATCAACCTATTATCGCTGTGGCTGCCATATTACCAGAAATGAGCGCATCGCGTAATTACCTACGCATCAATGCGATACGACGCAACGGAGAGACGACACTGCGATTCATCCGCCTCGTGCTCGGCGAGACACACGTGGCTGCGGCATGGCGTGGCGGTGCCCTGTGTGACTCGATAAGGGCGTGATTCCATGCACGAGCACGGCAATTTGGGTTAATAACACAAGACGGTGAAGCGCGTGCAAGTATATAGAGAAAGACAAGAAACGA